GGAGCCAAGGAAGACGCAGGGAACAGCACGGGAGGACAGCTTCTCCGCAGACAAATCGCGGATGAAAGCTCGAGATCCCCAGACACGGAACGCAAACGCATCGCCAACCTTCCCCGTCCACCGCAGAGTAGGTGTGATCTCCGGCATGGAGACCCGGGGCTGGAGGTTGAGCTGATGCGCAGCGTACTGAACCGCGAACGGCCACAGAAAATGGGGAGCAGCCGCATGGATCATGGACGTACGAGCAACGTCAATGACCATGCCAATGCAGCGCTCAGCAATCCCATTTTGCTGTGGAGAGGCTGGAAGCGTGAATGTCTGGCGGATGCCCTCCGCACGACAGAAGGCTCGCAGGAGGTCGGAGGAAAACTCTCCACCTCTGTCGGAGTGCAGACGCAGAACAGGAAAGTCCGAGCCGAAACTCTCTCTGAGCTGGAGACGGGCAGCGCGGATCCAGTCGATCAACACCTCAGTGACCTCACCCTTGCGATGCAAGGGGAAGACTGTGGTGTAACGCGAGTAGTCGTCAACCACCAGTAGGAAGTAACGCTCGTGACCCTGTCCACGGACGCGGGCTGGGCCCCACACGTCCATGTGGAGAGTCTGCAGAGGAGCCTCTGTCGGAGGAAACTCGGAGGAGTGAGGAGCGGCGCGCTGCCGCCCCTCGACGCAGGGAACGCAGGTAGGGGCAGGCCCCGGGGGAAGGGGAGGGAGGGACCGGGGGAGACCAGAGACAAGGACACGGAAGGCCATGCCTCGGAGACGAGGCAGGGAGGGGTGACCAAGGCGGTGGTGCCAGAGGAGAGTCTGGTGAGACAGGAGACGACACGAGCAGGGGGCAGACTCAGGACCAGACCTGGACGCTGCAGCAAACACCTGACTCGACGCAGCTACCTGACCAGACGCAGGAACCGAAGGAGACTCGGTAGTGAGTGTGTACAGGCTCGACCCCGGCTGACGGGTAAACGTGGCCAAGTGTCGGCCCGTCCGAGCACACGTGCAGTGGGTCACTCGCTGACTCGCAGGAGTGAACTGGTCAACCCCCCCATCCTGTAGGTCAGCACCACTCACCAAGTTCGTAGAGAACGAGGGGAGGTAAAGACCTGACAGGGAGCCAGACGGGACCGCCGGACACGGCAGAATCGTGGAGGAGTGTGCAAGGACCGGACCCCCAGAGGGGTCAGCCAGAGAGACTGCCACTGGCCGACTGAACGGCGAGAGTATGGTGCATTCGCGAAAGAAGGAGCGGGAAGCACCCGAGTCAAGGGTGAACGTGTGCAAGGCCTGAGCCGACGTGGTACCTGAGAGAGCAGACTCACCAGCACCTGGAGCAGCAGACTCACTAGCACCTAGAGCAGCAGCCCCAATGCCCGGGTCGGGCGGAACACAAAGGTAACAGTCACCCTCAGCACTAATAGTCACAGCATACATGGCAGCAAGGATAGCATCAAAGTCAAGAGCAAATATATCAACACCAGACTTAAGCATATCAGCCCAGCGAGGGAGCTCAGTGGCGTCAGGAAACTGTGTACGCCAGGAGAGAATCAGGCGGCCGAAACAGCGGTGTGTGGCGTGCGGCCCTCCGCACGTCTCCCCACTGCGCTCGCCGGTGCGGAGAACGTAAGCACAGGGACCAGCACCCCCAGACCTCCCACGCCCAGCGTACCACTCACGAAGCTGCTGGGGCGACAGGGTCTCACGAGAACGCTGCTGCTGCTGGCCCTAGCCACCACCAAGGCCTCCCCGCTGCACAGCGCCACCCCGACCAGCACCACCGCCGCCACCAGCCCCACTGCCGCTGCCGCCTCCGCCACCCCCACTGCCGCTGCCGCCGCCACCTCCACCTTCACCGCCGCCACCGAAGCCCCCACTCCCGCCACCACCCCCACCTCCACCCCCACCCCCTCCGCCGCCTCCACCGCCACCACCGCCGCCCCCGCCGTCTCCTCCAGCACCCTTGCCCCCCTTGCTCCTGCCGTTGCGGCGCCTCCCTCTAGGAGCAGACGCTGCGCCGACCGACTCGGTGGCAACGAGGTCGACAGCAGCAGCAGAGGCAACAGAGGGCAAAAGGGGGACGAGGGAGCACCCCTCAAAGAAAGGGGCACGAGGGTTACCACAAGAGGCTCCTACAGCGACTATACTCTTCTCAGCTGCAAGGAGGCGCTCCTCGAGGAGGTCAACGGTGAGCGTGGTGGGGCAAAGGGAGAGGAAGTGGTCCCTGACCGAGCGAAGGGAGTCAGGGAGCCGGGTGACGAGGTAGAAGAGGGTGATGTACATAGAGGGGGGATTCTTGGTGCAGAACTCGGAAGGAAGTGCAGCGCGGTAGTGGGTGTCACTAGTGCGGAGGTGCGTAATGAGGTCAGCGACTGTGGCAAAAGCGGCTAGGTCAGGGAACAGGTACGGCAGCACGACGCGGCTAAGGGCAGCAGTGGCAGGGGAGGAGTAGCGCGCAACAACAGCGTCGTACACAGTCTGAGCAGTCTTGTACTGTCTAAAGTGTGCGCGCTCAGCAGACGGCAGGTGACTACGAACAGCAAGACGAGCAGCAGCATCGCGTGTGGTCCACTGCGAGCGAACTACACTGTCAGCATCGGCAGCAGGTGCAACAGAGACGCTGGACGTGTGATCGAACAGTGAGACTCCGTCCCTAGAGTCGCACTGCAGAAACAGCTGCAAATTATCGACCCAGACCTCGAAATCAACTGCTCGACCCTCAGCATCGAAGGTAAGGACATTAGGGGTAGCCATGACAGCAGGAACAGCAGCAGTAGCGTTAGCAGCAGCAGCAGCAGTAGTAGCGCGACTCGGCAGGGCGGCGTGGCTCGGCAGGGCGGCGCGGCTCGGCAGGGCGGCGCGGCTCGGCAGGGCGGCGCGGGTGCGGTGGTGTGCTTACCAGGAGCGGGAGGGGGGGGTAGGGCCGCGACTGTTGGGGCAGGGCCGTGGCGCGCCGGTAGGGCAGGGGCCGCGACAAGTAGGGCCGCGACGAGGCGGCAGGGCAGGGCCGCGACACGGCTGCAGGGTCAGGGCCGCGTCAGGCAGGGCCGCGTCAGGCAGGGCCGCGACAAGTAGGGCCGCGACGAGGCGGCAGGGCAGTGCCGCGACACGGCTGCAGGGTCAGGGCCGCGTCAGGCAGGGCCGCGTCAGGCAGGGCCGCGACGAGGCGGCAGGGCAGGGGCCGCGACGTGCCGGCAGTGCAGGGGGTCGCGTCGAGGCGGCAGGGCAGGGGCCGCGACGAGGCAGGGCAGGGGCCGCGACGAGACGGCAGGGCCGGGCCGCGACCGGGCGGCTGCAGGGCAGGGCCGCGTCTCGGCTGCGGCAGGGTAGGGCCGCGACAAAGCAGGGCCGCGGCAGGGTAGGGCTGTGCGAGCTGCGAAAGCAGACCGCAGTAGGCGGGTAGGGGAGGGCCGCGACGACGGGGCGGGCGGGCCGCTAAGGGCGGCGACGGCAGGGCGGGCCGCTAAGGGCGGCGGAATCGGGCCAGACAGGCCGTTAGGGGAAGGGCGCGACGGGCCTTAAGGGTAGGGCCGCTATGGCGGCAGTAGGGCAGAGCGCGATGCGCGCTTCGGGCGGGGCAGTAAAAAAAAGGTAACGAACACGGTGGGCCCTAAAAATAAAACATTCCCACTAGGGAACCTGCTCTGAAACCATGTCACAAAGTATGAAACGAGAATGACTAGAAACAGGGCAGTACAAGGTTTGTATAGGCCAAAACGTAACAATACTGTACCCCATAAGGAGTGCCCCACTACAGCCTACAATATAGTTCTGACAAAGAGCGCAGAATACTCGAGGAGAATCAATTCTGATCGGGCGGCGCGAGAAAAACGATCACAAGCAATTCGATCCAATCCAACCCGATCAGATCTGAGCCGATCAAAGTCGATTGGGCCCACGTCCTTAAGTGTTGATCTCTCCCGAAAGTGTGCACTGGTTCCCCTAGGGGTTTAATGTTTTTTGCCCCGTCAAAGTTTTTTTGGTTCGAAAATGGTCACGTTTCCCCCGGCAGGACCAGTTTTGAACATAATCTGGGCCTGTACTTTTTGAGTAAACGCGGGGCTAAATTTGAGAGATTTTTTAAATCAAGGAGCTGGGATGTACTTTCCCTTTGTCACCACAGCCACCTGTCGCCGGCGCCTTCACCATTCCAGCATCTTAGAGAGGATGCATAGGAATTTCGGTGATGCAAGCCGAGGCTGCTTCCTCATTGGTTGTAACCTTCCACGTGGCTAACCATTCTCCCGATCCGAGTCGCGGTACTGTACGGAAACAATGGTCCAATTCACAGTGCAACTGGTTTTCGAACCGTCTCGCACTCACTCACATCTCATCACATGAATTCGCCCTGCGACTCGGCGCGCATCTTGGCACGAGTCGTGGATGAAGTGAGAGTGAAGATGACAACACGAACAATCGAACCACTCGACAATCTTTCCAGAAGTCATCAGCCATATTTATTCAGTTGGTGACACTTCAGCTGCCGTTAGCCTTTTTAGGAGGGAGTCGCTCTGCGTTTGATTGCACACCATACCTACCAACCCTCGACCACATCCGCACAAACACGATTCAGTGGTTAATCCAAGACCTCCTGTGTATTCACACTGACCCTTTTCTCCCTGTTGTTGATTAGCTGGGCATAATGGCGATCATGTATGAAGTCGCATTTGAGTGAGATTCTAGTTGGTTTGGTCCTAGCACTGAACATTCGACTCACCCCAACAGCTTATCAAGTCCAGCGCAGCCTATCACGTCGCATCGCCGCAAGCATTTTTGTATAAGAGCATCTGAAGCACCTGCCTCTCATCATGTCTAACAGCAGCGGGAGTGGCACGTGTGCAAACACGTGTTACATGAAAGCCACATCAGACGGCGTGTGGACAGGCGAAAAGCCCATCGATTACGCCCTGCCGTTGCTAATCATCCAGCTATGCTTGATTGCCGTGTTTTCTCGCACCTTCGCCATCATTCTCAAGCCTCTGCGACAACCGCGAGTCATTGCGGAGATGTTGGTGAGCGCTCTCATTTGACCCTGCTGCACAGAAATAAAGAAAACGTTCAAGCATCTCCTTTGCCATGCCTTCCTTTGTACCACCCGATCGTATGGACATCTCGTTTGGTTTCTTGATGCATGGCCGCGTCGTAACGTCCATCTCATGCTGTTCGCCTCACGCAGGGAGGTATTATACTTGGCAGTTCCGCAATGGGCTACATCCCAGGATTCACGGAGGCCATATTTCCAAAAGACAGTCTCACGGTGCTGACGACGGTTGCGAACGTCGGCCTGCTTTACTTCCTCTTCACCGTCGGCCTCGAGCTCGACATGCGCTCCGTTGCCAAGACGGGCCGCACCGCCATGATAATCGCGGTGGTGGGCATCTGCGTTCCGTTCGCGCTGGGTATCGGCACGTCCTTCGCGCTGCGGCAGGTGCTTCAAGTGGACTCGGCGTTCGGGCCGTTCGTCGTGTTCATGGGCGTCGCCATGTCCATCACCGCCTTCCCCGTGCTCGCGCGAATCCTCGCGGAGCGCAAGATGCTCACCACGGACGTCGGCCAGATGGCCATGTCCGCCGCTGCGGTCGACGATATCACCGCGTGGGTGCTCCTCGCTCTCGCCGTCGCGCTCTCCACTCCTGACGCGAGCCCGATTGTCGCGCTGTGGATTCTGCTGTGCGGAGTGGCGTTTGTGGTGGTGATGTTTGTGGCGGTGCGGCCCTTGATGGCGTGGATAGCTCGCCGTGTGACCCCTGGCGAGCCAGTCCCGGAGTGGATAGTGGGAGTGGTGCTGGTGGGCGTGCTGCTGTGCGGGTTCGTGACGGACACCATCGGCATCCACGGCATCTTCGGCGCTTTCATCTTCGGCCTCGTGCTGCCCAAGGACGGCCCGCTGCCATCGCTGGTGATCGAGAAGATTGAGGACTTCACGTCCATCATCCTCCTCCCGCTTTACTTCGCCTCCAGTGGCCTCGCCGTCAAATTCCAGTCCATCTCCGGTGCTGGAGCTGTCGGCATGATCTTCCTTGTCATTGGCACGGCATGCGTGGGCAAGATCGGCGGCATTATGTCGTCTGCAATGATTGCGGGACTCCCAATGCGCAAGTCACTGGTGCTTGGTGTGCTGATGAACACCAAGGGGCTGGTGGAGCTCATTGTGCTCAACATCGGGCTCTCCAAGAAGGTGAGCCTGGAATATTACCTGGAAATGGAACAGCCTCCAGACTCATGCCTTGATGTCCGGGTCTTAGTCTTCAAATATCACGCATAAGAATTAGACAAGTTGTCATGTTTGTCTCTAACCTTCTGTTACGATCCGTTTTTCAGGTAATTACTCAGGAGATCTACACGATCATGGTGATAATGGCGCTGGTGACGACGTTCATGACGACGCCGCTGGTGATGATGCTGTACAAGCCGGCGCGCAGGAAGCTGCGGCACACAACCAAGGTGGAGGAGCTGGCGATGGTGAACGGGGAGCTGCGCCTGCTCGTGTGCGTGCACGGCATGAAGAACCTGCCCGCCATGCTCAACCTCACCGAGGTGTCGCGTGGCACGCGCAAGCGGCCGCTGCGCGTGTTCCTGATGCACCTGATGGAGCTGTCGGAGCGGTCGTCCGCCATCATGATGGTCACGCGCGTGCGGCGCGACGGGCGGCCGTACTGGTCCAAGGAGAGCGAGCAGGCGGGCAGGGACCAGGTGGTGGTGGCCTTCCAGGCGTACTCACAGCTGAGCCGCGTGAATGTGCAGCCGCTCACAGCCATCTCCAAGTTTGACAACATGCACGAGGACATCTGCATCACCGCAGCCGACAGACGCTCCAACCTCATCGTCGTGCCCTACCATAAATTCATGGTAATTATGCCTAGAGTTTCGGATATGCCTGCCTGCATGTTCCAGCTAGTGTGTGTGCATGCTGATTCACGTCCCTCTGGTCCCGTGTTTTCGCATTGTGATGTGGTGTGGCATGGCAGACGCCAGACGGGTCAATGGAGGCGGTGCATCTGGGCTTCCAGATGGTGACGCGCCGTGTGCTGCGAGCCGCGCCCTGCTCCGTGGCCATCCTGGTGGACCGCGGATTTGGCGGCTTCTCACACCTCTCCCCCACCGCCGTGTCGTACCGCATTGCCGTGCTCTTCTTCGGCGGGCCGGACGACCGCGAGGCGCTCACAGTGGCGCGGCGCATGGAGGAGCACCCGGGAGTGTCCTTCTCTATCGTGCGCTTCGTGGCCACGGAGGAGGTGGAACTGGGCTTTGTGGTGGCGCAGCAGGAGCAGCACTCGCTCGTGCATGCCAGTGGGTCTGCGTCTGGGCACGGGCACGCGCACAAGGGAGGAGACAAGATGGTGTCGTTCCTGGTGCCCGTGGATAAGGTCGAGGTGGACCGCGAGAGGGAGCTGGACGATGCGGCTCTGGCGCCCATCATTGACAAGGGCCGCCAGGAGGAAGCACTTGCAGCCAAGGAGGCAGCAGCGGAGGCAAGTGTGGATGGAGAGGGGGAGGCGAGTGGGAGTGTGCGGAAGCGGAAGATGGTGTACGAGGAGCGGCAGGTGGAGGATCCAGTGGCAGCGCTGACTGCAGCGAGTCTGGACGACTACGACTTGGTGATTGTTGGCCGCGGCCGGCGCTCCACGGCCTTGGTGGCACAGATTGCAGCGCAGCGCACGCCCTTCCGCTCCTACTTCCACGGCCCAGCAGCCATGAACCTGGGCAGGTTCGGACACAGTGGAGGCAGCACGCACGAGGGAGGCTCGGAGCTAGGCCCGGTGGGAGACATGCTGGTGGATATGGAAGGGAACGCATCGATCCTTGTGGTGCAGCAGCACGACCCACACCTGATGAGGGCCTCACACCAGGTGGCTGACATCAGCATGCTCATGACTATCTCAGGGGATGCTCAGGACTCACCTGCTGCTGATGGTGCTGATGGTGGAAGTGAGCAGCCGGCTGAAGCTAGGAGTGGGATTGAGGAGGTATGAATGGTTGATTGTTGGGGGAGATTTGTTTGAACGATTTTGTTGCGCACGGTACATATGTACAGCCTAGTTTTGTATGGTGGGCAGGTTCTTGTTTATATGTAATTAAGCAATTGTAAGGCTTATATGCCATAAGTTTGCAGTCCTTGCGATCAGTTTCTGCTTTGACACCATACCATCACGGGTTTTTTTGGTAAGCGGCCAACACACCTACATTATTGCACTACATCAATTGTGTTCACACTCTCACTCTCTTTCCCCTGGCTCCTAAAGCGATTGTACTGTATGACTTTGGATAGTAGCGCTGCCTGATTAAAGGCGCCGGCGCTTCTATCTGGAGCCATGCGCTTATGGCCGTTCCTCAATTATAAGCGCACCTCCTAGGATGCCTGAACTTTTTATAAGCGCATTCCTTCCCCCCATGGGGTAATATTCCACTATTTTTTTAATCTAAACATTGTTACCTACACTAACAAGATTTCTACACATGCCTCTCAATAAATAATCTCATGACACATGAAGATTTACACCCCTAACTAGAAATCTACTCGTCGTCAGACTCCGTCTCCTCGCAGTTGTTGCCAAAGAAGCCGTTGGTGATGATCTCGTCATCGACGTCGACCTCGTGGGTCAGCTGGCTCCGCCTGTGCGCCATGGCAAGGTTGTCCTCACTGCCGTCAAGAGCGTTGCTGATGCCATAGGTGAGGAACGCCTTCTTGATAAGCTCTGGTGGCACAGCCTTCCAGGCCCGTGAGATCCACCTGAGCACCATCGCAGGGGGCGGCTTCTTGATGTTCCCTGCACCACAAGTCAGAGTGGGAGAGACGGTGTTAGCACAGGATACACCGGGAAAAGAAGCAGCCAACAAACCATCAACAGTAGGGTTCTTACCTGCAGGCGTCAGCCGCTCCTGACCCTCCTCTTCAAACCAGGTCTGGTACTGCTGGCGGATGCTTGCTTTGAAGGACTTGTTGATCGAGATGTCGAGGGGCTGTACCTCCGCAGTACAGCCCGACGGGATCACCGCCGGAACGATGTCCAGGTCGACGAACTTCTGCTTCACTTCGTCCGTAAGATGACCGCGGTAAGAGTCTAGGACGACCATGGCACTCCTCGCCTGCCTGCCGAACCGAGGCCGGATGAAGGGCTTGACGCACTCCTCGAGCCAGCGCATGACGCCGTTGGCGTCCATCCAGCCGTTCGGATGCACCGCCACGACCACATCTGCGATATCACAGACAGTCAAGAAACCGGCGTTAGTATCACGACTGGAAAACCAAACAGCGGCTGACCGTGGTGTATTCTTACCTGGCGGGAAGTCACCCTTCGGCACCGTCTTGCGCTTGAAAAAGACCCACGGCTTGAGCTTCTCGCCGTCGGCCGTGCACGCCAGCATCACGGTCACGCGTTCCTTCTGGTACCCCCCGCTCGTGATGGGCACGGAGCGACGCCCGTCTTGTCCACAGTAGTCGTGGCGGGCATCTCCAGCCACAGCGGCGTCTGGTCGGCGTTGATAATCTAGCGGGTTTCGATGCTGCGCTCACGCCGCTTGTCACGAACGATCAGAAAGCCTGGCACAGCTCCGCGACGTCTGCGCACACACGGACAATGTTAAGAGGCGGTGGTTAGTCAACAACTTTGATTGAAAAACACAACAAGCACACGGTACAATAATTCGGTACTTACGCTCGACGGTTTTCTGGGCAATCCTCGTCTTCATGCGCACGCTCAGATTCCACCGTTTCCGAAACCGCTCCGACCACCGCTGGCTGCCCTACCACTTCACGTCGGGGAACAGAACCTTCATGAACTCCTTCGACCAATCCTGCAGGCGACCGACAGAGACGGCAGTTCCTTTGCGGCGCCACTCGAGAAGCCTCGCGTAGACTTTCAGCTCCATCGGCCCATACCACGATGCCCTCCCGCGCCCGTGCATCCGCTTCCGTGCTGAGTGCGCTTCCTTGAGCATGGCGGCGGCTTTCTTCCACTCCGCGAGACACTTGCGGTGGATTCCTGACTCGCGAGACAACGACCACAGCGACACCGCCACATCCATGCGCCCAATCCACTGCAGCTTCTCTTGCGCAATATAAGCGTTGCGCTTATGCTGTGAGGGCTTGTGCCTGGGAGAGGGGGGGCTGGAATCACGGTTCTCAGAAGAGGGGTGGGGGCGCTTGCGGTTAACCAGAGGAAACGTAGAAATAGGGAGCTTCTCGAGAAGTCCGTCGCGCGACCAATACTCCACACCGTCGTCGTCCTCGCCGCCCGGGGCACCCTCGGGAAACACATCTGCCGCGTTGCCGGCCTCGGCGCCAGTGTCGGTGCCAGTCTCGGTGCCAGCCTCGGTGTCGGGTACATCGTCATCAGCGCCCACAGCAGATTCGTCCCATGCACAATCTTGCGGCTGGCCCCATCGTGGTGCCGGGGCCGGAGCTGGACCGTAGACGTCGGGGGGGCTTGTTGCTATCAGGTTCCGACAGGTACTCGTCGAACTCCAACGGGTGCAGGAGCGTCAGCACAGGAGGATTTGATGGGCCGGCAAACACGGGTGGAATCGGAGGAGCAGGTGGAGCTGGAGGTGCAGGAGGACATGGAGGAGATGGCGGCGCAGGCGGCGCCGGAGGCTGCGGTGGCTCTGGGGGCGATGGTGGGATATGGCTATACCAGCCGTCAACGTCCACACGGAAGGCGGGCCTAGGCTTCTTCTTGAAAAGAAAGTGGGTGCAAGTGAATTCCGCCATGGCTTTCGCAGCCTGGCGGGCGAAACATGCTAAACTGAATCAAAACCAGCAAGAAATGAGAAGAAATGGACTTCAGACGGGACCCCTGCGGGGAAGCGGCTCGCCGTCCTCGTCAATGATAGATGGGTACCCCCACAACCTGAACCCGCAAAGGATGAAAATGGGCGGCACACATGCTGCGGTGGCATGGAATATTCGATCCCCTTCTAGAGGGATCGGATGAGCTGTCCCTGCCTGGCAACGCATGACAACGTGATTGGGCCGCACGGCAACTTCCGAGTCAGCGTTGGCAGATGCGTTGCTCCGGGACAGGATTTGTGCGGTGGGAAATTGAGTCGCTGCTGTTTTCACCTGCATTTCATGCACGAAACCGACGTGAACGTTTGATGGTCGTATTCACCTTAATGAGAGCTTCAATTTGGTACCCTTACAAACAAAATTCTTTTTTTTCCATTTCATAAGCGCATGCTCTTATGCCCTTTCCTCAATTACAAGCACACCCCCTAAAAAAATCGATTTTATTATAAGCGCATATGCGCTACTATCCGGGGTGATACGGTACCATACTTGCTTATACATCTTTGTAAGCACATGGTACAGTACCTGAACAGGTCACTTCAATAACTTGTACGGTACCAGTACACCCATCAAGTACAGGCCATCAGAACCGCATGCTCCATGGAGCTGGTGATCATCAGCGAAGCTTCCATGCACAGACTTGGAGTACCATGGCAGCTGATGCAGCAGCAGACAGCATCAGTGCACAAAGGCAAGGAGGTTGGTGAGGTAGGTGCTTTCAGGGCATGCGGGGTCGATGGGGTGGCATGGGGCGGCACCCGCCTCCCGTACCACTGTCACTTGCCGCCCCGCTGATGCTGCCGCTTCCTGCACACATGATGGCGGGGGAGTGACGAATTGTGAGATAAGAGGAGAAATGAATGCCCAAGGACTAACAACATAGGTGGGATGACAACAACATTGACGATACCCACCACGGATTGAATTGATTGGTCCTGGCGTGTGGATGAGCGATCAAGAGACAGGCGGGACAAGGTGGGGGTGGAGGGGGGGCGAGAAAGTGAGTGCAGCAGAAACAAGCATGCCATGGCTTGTGAAATAGCTCCAGCACAGGAAGTGCGGCAGAATGCATGAGGAGAAGAGGGTGGAGGGGAGAGAAGAACGGCGTGTAGGCAAGAGCATATGGGCAGCAAGGAGGGGAGGGCATGGGATCGCACCCTGAGGATGCCTAGCAGCAGGTGCTGCTGTGACACAGCACCGGAGCACGAGCATGTCATGAGCAGCCCTCCAGGCGCCACCAGGCGCAGCGCCAGGCTGTTGAGGCGCCGGTACCGGTGCAACGCCCGGGGGAGGGACTGCCATAGGGGAGATGGGCGGCAGGGGACAGGGAGGGGCTTGTGAACAGGATGAAGGAACCCCAAGAGGGAGGGAAGCCAACACCGTGAGCAGAAATGTGGGGTGGACAGTGAGCGGCATTCAGAATAAGGACCTAAACAGAAGGTCATTCACCTGTAGGCAAGCAGCCCCATGCATGGGTTGTCGCCATCCATCCACCCCATGCGCTCTTCCTCCCAGGTCACTTACCTCAAGCCCCCGTACCTTCCGAGTGGGAGCAAGCTTGGGTGGGTCCAACACAACGAGGTCCCACTGCTGCTGCTGCGCCACCGCCCGCTGCATGAACGCACTGATGTCTGCGCGCTCAAAGCGCACGGCGGAGGGCTGTAGCCCGTTGAGGACCACGTTGGCTGCTGCCAGGGAGAGTGCCGAGGGGGAGGAGTCCACGGCTGGTGGTGGGGAAGGGGACGGAGGGGAAGGAGCGATTGGGAGGAGATGGGTGGTTAGGGTAGGGGGATGTGAACACTTTACATGTGAGTATCGGTGGGCACGGGTGAGATAGGATGCAGTGGGGAAAATCATGTGGCAAAGTGTCATGACTCATGCCTGCGAGTAGCAGTGCAAACGCTGTTTGGTGCACGAGAAGTGACCTGCGAGTATGTACACGCAACACATGGGCTGCCCACCTGTGACGTCAGAAGCGCCGGCAAGAGCAGCATTGATGGCAAAGCCGCCGCTATAGCAGCAGAGGTCAAGCACTCGGGAGAGAGGGCGGTGGGCGGACAGAGGCGAGGGCGGGAATGCCCTCCCAGTATCCACAGCTGCTGCTGGTGACAATGATGTTGATGTTGCTGATTGGCCGTCAGTTGCATTTTGGCTACCGGTGTCACGATCGCCATTGAAAGTGGCATCAGCGGGGGTGAGGCCATTGTGTACCGCACTGCTTCCACGGCCGTGGAGTGAGGAGGCAACGAGGGAGCGCAGGAACAGACGGCTGTCCCGCTGGTCAGAATAGAAGCCTGTCTTCTGCCCGCTCGCCATGGCCACCCAGAACCCCACTCCGTTCTCCATCACCTGCGGCAGGGAGTAGACAAGTGTACAGAGAAAGCCTGGTGAGCCTGCCTCCGCCATGCCACACGTACTACCCACATGATTTGCTCGTATGTACATGACATGACATGGCAAGCTGCAAGTGGCAATTCCGGAATAACAAGTTCAGGGAGATTTTTTGTCAGATGTCGCCTTACCTTCACCCTGTCGTCATCAGAGGGGTCCTCAAATGCGGCTTTTAAGAGTGGTAGCTGTGCTGGTAAGCCACTTGCTACTGTTGCCACTTCTTGGTGGCCAGAATCCACTGCAACCGTTGCCCCTCTCTCCACCTTTCCTTCTTGGCTGCTGTCAATGTCATCGAGCATCTCATCCCCATCCTCAACCGCCACGCTTTCCAAACCTCCAAATGCCTCCCCATCTGCCGGCTTCTCCCCACCGTTGTCTCTCCGCCCTTCACCCTCTCCCCCTTCCACCACCACCCCTTCTTCCTTCAGCATCTCAACAGACCGCCTCCAAACAATCCTCTCATGCCCCTCCAATCCACTGCCCCCTTGCCCTTCCCTCGCCACACCCCCATCACCAACCCCCTCCGCGCATTCCTGTGTGCTTGCACTTGCTGCAGGCAGCAGGTGGGAGAGTGCTTGCATGATGGCGGGGCGGTGGGCCTCCACCCACGCTGCAGACGACGCCACCACCATGCGCTCCCCATACACATCCACTATCAGCCCCGACAGCCTGCTCGCGGTTGGCAGCAGACGGGCGGAGAGAGGCGGGCAGGAGGAAGAAAAGGGGAAGGGGCAGGGCGGGCGAGGGAGATCATTGAAAGGCAGTGAGACAGGATTGAAATGCAAGAAGTTGGGTTGCTTTGAAACCAGGTGCGAACGGCAGACAGGGCAGCGTAACGCGTGTTGACCACCCGGACCAAAGGTCCCTTACCTCCTTCTCTTCTCCACACCACGCCCCCCTCCCATATGTGTCTCTGAGCTTCCCCCGCTCTCATGCCAATGCCCTCCTGCGCCCCACTCACCTGTCCCCTTCGCTGTTCACGAGCCGGAACGCATTGGTGCCCCCTCCTGTGGCATCCACTGTGGCCCCTGCCACGCCTCCTCGTGTGCTCCTTTCTGTGCTTTCTGCGCCCTGCGTGCTAGCTGTGATGCGCAAGCAAGCAACAGCAGAGGGATGTTGAGCAGAATGGGAAGATACTCAATTAAGCAAGATGAGACGAGACGAGGGTGGTGGAGGAGAGCACATGGACGGAAGAAGCACGAAACAGCAATTCCCTCTGGCACTCGCCGTCACTCTGATCCTCCCGTCCTCTGTTCTAACACAGTGCATATCACAGCACACCACATCCCCCTTCTCATCTGCAAACCACCAATCCCCCTACCACCGCTCCCTGGCCTCTGCACCAAGTATTTCCCTCTAGGTTCAACTCACATTCATAAACTGCGGACCACGTCTCACTCTCACTATGCTCGTTACACATCCCTCCCAAAATACCCCCCCCCCATCTTGTGACACCCACCCACCGGCGGCGGGGCATGGCAGGGGCGAGAGGCCGAGCAGCAGGCGCAGGTTGAGTGAGGAGGCGAGGCGCAGGCGCAGCAGAGATGGCATGCACAGGACGGCCTCGGGATGCCTGAGGAGGGGATAGGGACGGGAAGGAGGAGAGGGAGGGGAAGAGAAAGGAAAACGGTGAGAAATGGGGCAGTGGGAAGTCAGGAGAAGGCAGGATTGGAATGGCTTTGATGCGTTTCAAGCAAGGAACTATGCCGTGCCATGGCACAGCAGGAGACATCTGCGCATGAGCATCACCTTTGAGCGTCTGAGAGAGTCTGCATGATGCGCACGCGGTACATAGACGTTGGGTTGAACACCCCCCACGCCACCGCCACTCCCCGCGACCACTCCCCCGACGCCCCTCCCCCTCCCTCCCCCGCTTCCCCTCCCCCGTCCGCATCCCCCTCCCCCTTTGCCCCTGCGCGCCCCTGCTCCCCCCTGCGCGCGGCGAGCACGACGAGGTCGCCTGCCTTGGGGGGGGGGCGCCCCAGCACGCAGTCCACAGCGCCTGAGAACACCAGCGGGGCGGGGCTCGCGGAGGCGAACAGGGCTGCGCGCCCGCGCTTCAGAATCACGCGCGCAGGGGCTGGGGGAGAGGGCGGAAGAGGGGTCAAGGTGAGGGGAATCATGGCGGAGGGGGGAATGAGGGGGTGTAGTGGCAAAGAGGAGTGGTGACGCACAACGAATGGGGATAAGTCTACACGGGGTTGATGCGAATGAACGCCAGCCTGTAAACCTCATCCTGCCCCACGGTGCTAATCGCCCACTCGTGAGCGTAAAACCCAGAGCCCTGCACCTTAAACCCTCAGCCACCCCGCATTATCCCCAGGTGAATCCCTTGCACCTTACGTTTTTCCATTGCTGCAGCAACCTCGTCAATAATGTTTCCCCTGCCGCCCCTCCCGCTCCGCCCCTTCCCGCCCTCCCCCCGCCACTCATCCCCATGCTCTCTCGCCTCTCCCCTCACTTTCTCTCCCCCCATCTCTCCATCCCCCTCTGCTCCGCCTTCTAGGCCCCTTGCATGCCCGCCGTCCCCTTGCGGACGATTATCCCGCGCGCTTTCTCGACCGACGGCTTCCCTATCCCTGTCCCCAACTTGCGCCTTTCCTTCCCCCCACTCTTCCCGCCTCCCCACTTCCCCCCAGCTGCCCCCGATACTGTCCATTCTCCCCCTGCCGCCGCGCTTCCCCGCCCTCTCGCTGCTCGTGCTTCCCCGTCTGCCGGCCCCATCTCGGCGGCCCCCGCCTCCGCCGCGGGATGCATTTTCCCTGGGCTTCCCGCGCTTGCCACCTCTGTCGCTCCGCTGGCTAACTCCGCCTCCTTTTTCCGCGCGCGCTGCCGCCCCCCGCTGACCATCCCCTAACCATCCGCTAAAGGCGCGCTCCTTGGCAAAAACCTTCTGACCTCTCAAGAACACGTGGGGACCACGCGCGAGCCACGTGCCCAAGCCTCCCGCATGCGCAGCGGACATGTCGAGGGAATCAACAGGTGCAATGATTCTGCGAACTCTTTCAACGACGACCTTGGACAGCGCGCTTGGCGGAGAGGGCGTGGCGAGATTGTGGAGCGGCCGCGAGCAAGCGTGTGAGCAGACAGGCGAACGGGCAGCTTGGAGAGATGTGGCGTGTCGGGCGTGCGCGCAAGAACGGTGGACGGCTAATCGCGCTGCAGGGCAAGCCATGCGAAAGGACGACACATTCGGCAGTAATGGCAAGGGAGGTTCTCTTCTCCCCCAAGCGGAGATTCCCCAAATTTTGAAATAAATACTGGTACGTACCGTTCTGAAACAAGAAGCACCGAACTCACAAACCCTCCGCCGCACCCTCAATTGTGGTTTGCCTGGACGACGATGGAGATTGAGTGATCTCAGCTGATAAATTCATATGGTGAGGCGCCCAATTATCAGCATATAAATGCTCCTCGAATTACTCTCCCGATCTCATGCTGCTCATATAACGCGTACAAGTACTCGAGCCAACCACGTGTGCATTGATCACTCTCCGCTGCCGTCATCAGCACCGCGCGCCATTTTGACTGCACTCTGGAAAGACGTACACTCGTTCATCGTTACAGTATTGCTGCTCCATACATGCCCACCAGCGCCCTCAGCAGCCGGTCGCACGCACCCCACTCGCCGTGCCAATCGAGACACGCCCTCCGCCACGCACCATGCATGTTGACGTGCGCGACTCTCGCCTTGCCCTCCCCGCCCGCCAGAGCCCTTCAGCCGCGCACGCACAATGGTCCTGCGTCGCACCGTGCAGCCGCCCATACGCGTCGCGCGCGAATTTGGTAACCTCGCCACACCGGCGGCATACCACGACGCTTCTTCCGACATGTCTGCCACGTCCAGCCCTCCGATCGAATCCGACGGCCCGGATTCCTTCTTCCAGGCGCAATCTACAGCGACGGCCGTCCTAGATCGGCCTGTGCCAGCCGGCACGCCGCCGTTTGTGACGCGGGTGGCGGCGGTGCCGTCCCCGGCGAGCAGCTCCGTGGCGGTGGAGGCGCCGCCGCGCCACACGTCGTCCAAGTACGACTTCGTCAAGGTACGGTTTGCAGCACTCACGAGGGGGCGCGCTGCCAGTGGCCATGGCTGCTTGCTACGAGCGCGGGTGCGCGAGGGGCATTCGGGGGGTTCTCGTGTATCGTTGCCACTGGTGGCTTGCTTATCTCCCATGGCTGATGACCCTGCGCGCTACAAAGAGAATCATGTCTCAAGAGTTGCACATAGCAGCGCCGCCCCTGGCGTGCAGCGCGGTGCTTCTGAGTCTAAGGCGCGCGGGGACGCGCCCTCCGACTGCACTGTGTGTTCTATCTTGCGCCACCTGCGGTGCCTGGGCGTCCGCTTACTGCCCCTGCGCGCGCCCCTGTGCTGTGCCCGCCTGCCCTGTAGCTGTTCTTGGAGCAGGTGCGCGTGTGGCTGGGGGAGAACGAGGACCATTACTACGTGCTGTCGAGATTCCTTATAGCGAGGATGTTAACCGTCACACGCATGCCACATGTGGTGGCCACTAAGGTACGCGAGTCGTTTTATCAGCTTGCTTGTGCTCGTGCGTCACCTCAAGCCATGTTCGCTGTGTGCCGTGCCTTAGGGACGTCTCAACACTAGATGTGCTGTCTGATGCCGCCTTCCCTGCATGAACTCGCACCACAGTCTAGTATTCTCAGTACTCAACTGTATGCGGCATGGCACGGCGTGGCATGGTTTGGCATGGCGTGGCATGGCACATGTGAATCCACGGCATGGCATGGGAACAGGTGGCGTTGGAGTTGAAGAAGCTGTTGGTGGACCACGGGCTGCTGGACGTCAGTCAGGGCGACCTGGAGCGCAACCTCTTTGCTCTCATGCGCCGCCGCGGCTACGGGGATGACTACGTCGGCCGCTACCGCATGATGACCAGGCAAGCTCTGCCGCTGCTTCTGCTGCGCGCTGCTGCTGCTGCGGCCTGCAGCGCACTTGTTAGCTGCATGCAAGGAACCATGCGCCCTCGCACGCAAACTGCCATGCTCATGCCACCCTCGTGGCATTGGCGCTCGTGCATGCCTCCCGTTTCTTAACCGCGTCCTCACTTCCAACCTCTACCTCTGGAAGCGTAGCACAGCATATCACCTCACACCTTTCCCCGCCCATGCCCCATCCCCCACCCCACCCCCTGCACCCCCCAGCTTCTACCACCGACGCATACCGCTGGTGATATTCATAACGGGGCTGCCCTGCACCGGCAAGTCCTCCGTGGCCTCGCTGCTCGCGCAGCGCCTCAACCTCCCCAACGTCCTGCAGGTCGATCTCCCACCCCTCAACACCCCCCTCTCCCGCCGCTCTGCCTTCCTGGTCGCTGTTTCCTCCCCTCATGGCCTTCTTGTCGTCTCAATTTTCCGCGTCCTTCTCTCCCACCTCCCGCCTTCGTTCCCTCCCTCTCTCTCGCTTCTCAAATCGCCTCCGTCGCCCACCAATTCCCCAACCTCCCTGTCACCCCTATCTTCGTGTGCCAACACATTCCTCCCACATCTCTTCTTCCCCCTCATCCCCTGCTCCCCTCATCCCCGTGTACCCCGCCCTCCCCCCTCGCTCCAGACGGACGTGGTATACGAGTTGCTGCAGGGCATGCCGGAGTCGCCCCTGCACGCGCTGCCGCTGTGGGCGCGCACGGACCTGCAGGGGGGCGAGGAGGTGGTGGCGGAGTTCTGCCGCGAGTGCAAGATCATCCGCAAGGGTGCGTGTGTGCATGTAATGCAAGGGCGTTTTGTGTGCAAACGTGCACTGCACTCTTATGCTCTTGCTCTGCTCTGCACACTATCGGTTGTGCGTCCACAATTCAGGAAGCTTTGTTGCCCCTTGCTCATGTGCCCTTGCCTCTTCAGTCGCCCATGCACCCGTCACTTGCGCGCTTGCATCTGCACTCTCTTCCGCGCTCACTCTCGTCCTTCTCCGTGTTCCCAGCCTTCCTACTCTTCCTTCCCAACGTCCCTCGTTGTATCTCCTCCCCGTCTCTCCCCCCGTGCATGCTCTCATCATGCCCGTGGGCGTGGGTTAGCAGGGCTGGAGGGCGATTTGAGCAAGGCGCTGAGGGACGGCAAGCCAGTCATTATCGAGGTCAGGCAGGGGCGTGGATTAGGATGCGCGTTGGGGGTGCTGGCAGCTGTGTGTTGCTGCATGCGCGCCCTCCCTCTTTCACGCCATCACCTGTGTTGCACATTCGCTGCAGGCATCCATCCACCTTGCCATACATTCACTTGATGACCATCCCTTATGCGACCCACGCTTTCCCCCCTTCCCTCCGCCTTCTCCCCTCGGTCCAAACGGACCCTTCCCCCCTCTCTCCCCACCTCTTGCTCCTCAATGTGCATGGCACGGCCCGGCAACCCGGCAACACCATTAGGGCACGCACATTGACCCCGATGCCAACTTCCTTTCCTTCAGCGCCGCACCACCGCCCCTGCCAACTCCCCTGCCCCCGCTGCCACACACACAACCCGCCACGCCACCACTGCAGCCAGGCGCCGCGCCCTCTGCTGCTTGGGGGACGGGCAGTGGCGGTGGCGGCGGTGGTGGTGGGAGGGGAGGGGAGATGGGGTGTGGCAGAGTGGCCTGCGCGGATGACCCAATGGACGTGGAGGGCAGCACACCTTGCGCTGGATGGGGTGGGCAGGGGGGAACGGGGGGGCAGGGACGAGGGGGAGGGGGGGGAATGGTGATGGTGGAGGAGGGGCGGGGCAGGGATGAGTGTGGGGGAAGAGGGGATGGGGAGCAGGGACATGGTGCTGGTGAAATCGTGGGGGGGGGACTGGGGGAGGAAGGAGGGAGGGCACAGACTTTGGGCTCAAGGGAGAGCGAAGGGAAGCACTTGCGGAGTGGTGCATCTTCAGGGGGTGCAGCAGGGGCAAAAGGCCCGTCACACGCGGCACAAGCAGAAGCAGCAGCGGCGTCAAGAGGGGCGGGGAAGAGGTTGCGTCCCATTGTGGTTCCCATCGTGCTGCACATGCACCCAGCGGACCACAAGGTGCGCTGCTGCTCGCACTCACTGCGCCCATGCACCCACTCGCTCGCACCCACGCCCACTCACGTACACTCTCCAATGACTGCTTGCTCTGCCTGCCCAAATTCTGTCTGCGCGCCTTCTCACTGCCTTGCCTTGCTGCTTTTCCTGCACCAGCGTGCTCCTTGCCACTGTAAGGCTTCGCAGCTGGGCACTTCGGTGGCCCCCGTGGGTTCCCACCACTCCTGTGGGTACTCTTGTCAGCATTTCACGTGCCCATGTGTGTGTGTGTGTGTGTGTGTGCGCGCGCGCGCGCGCGCGTGTGTGTGTGTGTGTGTCTGTCCGTGTGTGTGTGTGTCTGTCCGTGTGTGTGTGTGTGTGTGTGTGTGTGTGTCTATCTGTGTGTGTGTGTGTCTCTGTGTGTGTGTGCGGCACGCCACAGGTGCTTCTCTCCGAGTGGATTGCATCGAATGCACCCAATGCTGCTCTGCTCTCTCAGGTGACGCCCCATCTACATTCTCTCATCTTCCCCCCCCTGCTACTGTTCCATCCACCAGTCCGCCTATCCCTGTTGTGCACTGCCCCTCAATTCGTTCTCCCTCTCCCCTGACCGCCTCTCCCCACAGGTGCCCGTGGAGGCGCTGCTGTCTCGCATGCACGCTGTGCAGCGATACCTTACCTCCTTCCGCTCCCAGGTACAGCACACACACTCCCTGTTTTTCTCTTGTGCTGCCAACCCCAAAAGCTGCCTGATTCATGCCGTCTTTCCTCTCATTCTCTGTCTGCGATCCCGCTGTCTCCTGCGCTGTACTTGGCATGGCATGGCATGGCATGGCATGGCATGGCATGGCATGGCAGGGTGTGCATGTGGCGGACATCTCATCCACCTCCTTCCCTCGCACCATAGACAACCTGCACGCACATCTACTGGCGTGCATAGAGCAGCGCTGCCGGGAGGATGGCTGGGGCACACCGGGGGACGAGCAGCTATGACCATGCACCACGCAGCAGGCCAACAGGATAGAATAAGGGCGTGATCCAATGGCCCCTTAACAGGCTAACCTCTTATCAGGCTCGCGTCGAATTGCACTGAAACACTCCAAGCGAAAATCATTGCACCAGGCAAGTCTGACAAGAGGTTTGTCTGACAAGAGACATAGGACCACGCCCTAACGGTATCCTGTTCACTTATTCCCAGGTTGCTGTTTTGTTTATAAACTGTTTTCAAGTGTTTTTGTCAGGCCCTCAGATATCAGCGTAAAACACGCTGATTAGGCTGATTTTGTAGCTGTGATTTTCGTTTTCCCTGAAATTCCAGTATCTTCTCTATATTTGCACTGATTTTTCAGTTTAACGTATAGGACTACCCTGACGAATTAGTGTATTGGTGTACCAGTTACACTGAACCATCAGTATGGTGTACCGAGTCACACTGATTCAGACTTACCAAAATGTATAGGGTGCGCGGACGTGGGACTTTAGGCCCAGAATATCCGCCACGCACTAGTAAACCTCTCACTCACGGGACTTACACCGTAACCTCTCTAATAACAGGACGAAACCTTAGACAACTACGTTAGAAGTTCTGGTACCATGTTCAACATAATATTTACACTGGAAAATCAGTTAGCCATGAAATTTTACCCTGACAAAATCAGCATGAACTTCACCCCCAACGCTGATTTGGTCACTACTTTGGGCAGGGCACGCTGATCCATCAGCATGCCCTGAAACCAATCTGAGGGCCTGGTTTTTGTCATAACCAGTGTGGAGTTTCAGTTAGCTCTCACAACGTTACGTATGTACAGTACATAGACATGGCTTAAATCCTTTCGATTTACAGGGTTGGACAGCTTGTACTTTATAATAAGCTGAACAACAGAAATTGGCATGCTCAAATGATACAGAAAAACTCACTACATCTAGTGCTTGCTTTGCTAAATCCTCCTCGTACCTATGTCCTAGGCATCCTCTTGACTGCAATGTGTAACTGCTTCGAGCTGTTTTCTCACAGCCTCACACTGCCGCTGCAACTCTCGCTGCTGGCCTATCAGCTCCTCTACACGTGTCTCAGCCTCCTGTGCTTGCTGTGATAGTGCCGTGTTGGTGTCTCGAAGCTGCACAGCCTGCACGAAACAGGCAACAGACAGAATACAAGCAACCATGAGACTAATATCACAAGCGACAGAAGCAACATTGTTCCTGAAAGAGGTCACACACATGCACAAGCACATGGTATCCAGTGCCCTCACCTCTGCCTCGAGTCTGTCCATCTGCAGCTGCCGTCGTTGGCGGCTCTTGCGAGCAGACACTCGGTTGGACTCCTTCCTCTTGACGTCCCTGTCCTCTTCCACCTTGTCACTCGCAGCCCCCATGGCCCCTCCCACGCCTGCCTCTGCCAGACCGTCCGCAGAGCACCACAGCCCCGCAGCGTCCCGCCCATCTTCCGTGCCCACCACGCCCGCCATTCCCGCGCTGCCTGCTGCCTCTGCTGCCAGCGCGCCAGCCAGTCTCGCCTCCAGGCCACTGGTCATGGCACAGGGGGCGCTAGCAGACGCCTCCAGTGTGCCGCACGGGTCAGTGCCGGTCCCGGGCATGCCGGAAGGCAGGCACATGGTGGGGTGCAGGGAGGAAGAGGAGAGTGGTGCTGGTGTTGATGATGGGGACAGTGACGCATCCCACGGCGCGCCTGCAAGCGCTGATGGCGGGCAGCAACTGCACTCCATGGGCAACGCGTGCTGCTGCCAGGGGAGCATCATGGGGTTACCAAGGGCGTCCATGCCCATGCCCATGGAACTGGACATCCCCATGTTCATCCCCATGCCCATGTGTTGCTCCATGCCCATACCCATCGGCATGTGCTGTTCCATGCACATGGCATTCCCAAGAGCGTCCATGCCCATGCTCCGGGAACTGGACAGCATGCCCATGCTCATGCCCATGGGGAAGCGAGCAGAGTATGGCGGCGCGGCGCCACACAGCATGTCCGCATGCTGGTGGCTGGAAGCGTGGTAGTGTCCAGCGGCAGTGGGCCAGGGACCGTCGGATCCAGGCGCCATGGCGTTGCTCGGGGTACATCCGGGGCACATGAGCATCGCGTCGCCCTGCGCCAATCCGCGCGGCAACCCCACGCATCCCGCGCAGACGGGCTCGGCAGCGCCATCAGGTGAGTGCGCGCAGGGCAGTGGCCCATGCGCCTTGGCCATGTGACCATTGCAGTCCGCAGAGCAGTTCAGTCCGCCGCACGCGTCGCCCGCCGGCGAGGCACAGTTCATCGCGCGGCCGGGCCACGAGTGCATCTGGCGCGCCACGTCATCCAACGTCTCCCCGCCTCGGCACGGGAGGGAGGCGCCGGGGGCGCGCGCAAGCGCGGAGGGCGCGTCGACGCACGGGCTGCACGGGGCGGCGTGCGGCGCGGTAGGCATGTCGGAGAGTGTCGCGGAGGACGGGGGAAAAGGCAGCTTGGCGGAGTGGTGCTGCGCATGGGCGGGGAGAACCGCCGCCAGGCGATGCGCCAGCGATGAGGTCCCCGACGCGTGATGCGCCGCCGCGGACGACGGACTCACTGACTCGCCCTTGCGCGGCCTGCGGGGACAGAGAGAACACCAGATTAGTACTTTGGACGCAAATATCAACCGTCGGTGACGCTTCATAAGTCAGATCCATAAAAAAAACGTGGAGAACGGCGGAAAGTGAGGGCAGAGAGTAAGGTGCGCGGCGGCGACACTCACTTTTTGGTGGGCGGCGCGGTCTTGAGGCCGATGACGCGCTTGATGTCCGCCAGCTTGAGCCCCATGGCGGGCAGGGGCGGCGGGTTGCACTGCCGCTTCTGCGGAAGTACCATCGCGTGAGTCCCGCTGGACTGCAGACGCGCTGCGGGCTGAGTGACGTGGTGGTTCGATCCGACGTGGACGGTGGCCGGCGCGCAGTCTGTGGTGTGACGGGCGTCATCGCCGCCTACGACCACGAACTCCTGCTGCTGCACGGCGGCCGATAGCATCTCCAGCACGTAGCTTGGCCTCGCCGCCTCGCCCGTGCTTCCCTCTTTGGTATCGCCGCCGCAGCCTTCAAGTTCACACCGCGCGTCGTTCAGCAGGTCCGATGACGAGCCGGAGAGCGTCGAACCGCAATCCGCGCGCAGCCCTGACGGCTCCACGCTACCCGTCACCGCAGCCTCCGCCTGGCTCTTCGCGATATTCGCGGTGTCGTCTTGCGCGCGGATGTGCGGCGCATTTGCCACGGGCAGTTCCTCTCCGCACGCTCCCGCTGACTGGATTTCCGCGTCCGCGCCACTCCAGAGCTCCGTCGCATCCACGAGACCTCCCTCACCGCCGAAGCCATGGTCGCTGTGGCGGCCGCTGGTGTTGCTGCTCGTGCTGCTGCTCACGACAATGGCGCTGCTCGGAACACCGCTGGCGGCGCGCGATCCATCAGGGAGCAAACCATCGGATCTCGTATGCAACTTGGCTTGTGTCCCATCCAAGTGTCTCAGTGATGAAGGCGCGAAAAGCGTCGGCAACGAGCCCGTTAAGGCCGAGGATGGAGACGCGGGGTACCACGTGGAGCACGATCCGTCCTTCCATGTGCTGGGCGACGGAGCGAGCAGCACAGCGGGCTTGGACCCGCATTTATTGGCCATCATGTGCGACACGGGATCGTGGTATTCCCCTGGCGACGCACAGCATGACGCCTTTAGGAGCATCATGTGGCTCTGCGGGAGGGCTGAGACACCCTCGGGCTCCTCGCTTGGCGGGTCGTGCACCAGGGGGACATTCACAGGAACCATGGTGGTTGAGAGCTCCATGCTGCGTGGCACCATGGCGCATTCGTCCCACGCGTTTCAAGTATTTTTTCAATGTGAGCAATGCGGTACGAGGAGGCACAAACAGATTGCCAGACAGATTACGAAGAGGGATGGGAAGCGATGAGCAATGACAAAGGGGGCTTCATAAATCGAAATCGGAAAGGAAAAATGCGACTGGAGAAAGGGCGTACAGCGAGTGGTCCCCCCACCCCATCCCCGTAAGTACAAAAAAACAAAAAATTACAAAATGTTGATTGAAGTTAAGAAACTACAAAAATGACAAATACACTTTACACTATAGAATATGTTCACAGTGTGGTGCGCGGCTGTTTCTCCCATAAGCCTCATGGACAGAGCTGTACTGTACTTGGGTTGCCTCCACTTGTGAATTCTGTCAAGGGCTGTGCGTAACGTATCTGTTTCTGCCCGTGAAAATGCAGTGCAGAAGTATATAATGGAATGGAAGAGGCCAGGGACAAGCCCTAAAACGCTGATGCTACACGGTCAAAGCCAACCTTGAGCTGGGAGGTTTGGGTGTAGCACAATCACCAGACGTTTTTGTTCGGTCCCCGTTCTGGTGTAAAACTGTGCATGGGTTGCTAGAAACGACAAGTATAACCTGGCACCAAAATCATCCGCAGCAAGTATCTAGCCTGACGACGTCAGCAGGCTGGCCGCGGATGTGTCACGCGGACGAAAGTAATGAAGAACCTTCCTCGCACGCTGACGGTTTGGTCTCTCAGTGTTTTGTAGTTTCAGAATCAAATGTCCAGAAGTTGTGATTAGTGAGGAAGGACTTGCTGAAAGCGTTGTGATTTACGTAAGAGCTAGGTGGAAACGACACTTGCCCCAATCAGGATGGAACCCATTTCGCGTGGCAGTTTTCGAGGAAACCCTCCAGTCACTCTCCTCCATACTCACGACGTCACCATCAGAATCAAACCTGCTCGATGACGCGTGCCGAATCATCGATTCATCGTACGACAATTCTAATTGGCTTGTCTCCAGCACATAGAACCGCAATTTACCTCCAGCACAGCGTGGATGTGTGGATATTGTTTCACGCCGAGATCAGCTTCTAATGTAGCTGCTCAGAAACGACATAACCGACAAACACTGTGCGTCACGTTGCCAGCTGTATGGAACGGTACTCATGCCAGGGCGGGCAGAAACTCTACGTGAGGACTCAGGGCGTATTCGGGTCCCGGGTACTTCAAGGGTCAAGATATATTTTCAGGTACGTGGGAATTCAGAGTTGAAGTGGCCTCGGAAAACCCGAAGTTGATCCCAGGTATTGACGCGAGTCTGGTACACGAGTTCAAGTGGGTCTTCTTAAGTGTCGGGCCTTGTGAAATGCCCGCAGATCACGAAACCAATCAACCGCGATATCCACAGCCACAGTCCTGTCGTGTGGCCTGTTCTGTGGCCATTGGGCATTGAGCACGTGGTTCTGCGAGGTTTGAGTGTGGCACAATCGCCGTTTCGACAGCCAAAACCAAGAAACTTGTGGCAATGCCGAAGCTGAAATTCGCAAAAGTCGGAGAGAAACGCAGGACAATGTTCCCAGCCACATGTCAGCTTGGATGACTACATGTTAGGGAAATTATACGCGCAGTCACAATTATGGCCGTATTATCACGTCTGGTCATGGGGTCATCACGGACAGTCACAGTACAGTACCTCGCTATCACGCGTGATCACAGCGCTATCACGCTTGGTCACACCTCGCCCCGCAGGGTTATCACGTTTGGTCACTCGTTGAAACGCCCGCCAAAAAGTCGAAACTCCAGAATCTACTATACAGATTCGGGTGAAATTATCTCGCGCGCGTTTTGTTTGTAGCGAAAAACGTGATGTGATAGCCAAAATACACTCGGACCTTGTTAGGAACTGATGCAGGATAATCCAGAGTCTGCATTTTGCAGTGAATCAACGCCATCAATAGCAGTTGCAATTTTACCATTAATCAATTGTGAATGATACCTTGACATTTTTGCTTGCACACCCAGTAATAAATAATTCGAGTACAAAGTGTAATTTTTTATATCAGACATACCTCAATCTTTAATTTGAGTAGGCATATGTTGAATTAGACTAGCTACAGGGAGACCATTGCCATGTGTATCCGATGGCTCAGGATTTTTTCGGGCTCGATAATCGGCTCCGATGCAGGGCGAGTCATGGATGGCGGGCAGTGACGCGGCAGTTGACTCGTGGTTGGGATGTAAGGGCGAAGCAGGCTGACGTGGAATGATGGGCTGATGTACCAGTCTGTCGGCAACAGTAAGTGTGCTGTCACGGGGGTGATCATGTGGCTGATTTGGAAAGGTCCACAATAGCGCGGTCGTAATTTCGGCACGACGGGCAGTCTTAAGTTCTGTGTGTCGAGTAGTACGTAATCTCCTGACTGGTACGTAACAGGGCGGCGGTGGCGGTCGGCGTTGCGCGTGGCGATGACATTTGCTTTTTTAATTGCTTCGGCGGCTCTGGTGCGGGCAGCTTGCAGGATCTTGGCGAATTGCTGAGCACGTGGTGTTGGGTTGTCCGGACTCGGCGTCATGGGCACTGTAGGGTTCTGGCCGTAGTTCAGGTAGAACAGGGACTGGTGCGTCGTCGCTGACGTGACGTTGTTGTACGCGAACTCAATCAGCGGCAGCTGCTGCTCCCAAGTTGTCGGATCGTCGCACGTGGCACGAAGCAGTTGCTCCATCGTCTTGTTCGTCCGCTCCGTTTGACCGTCGGTCTCGGGGTGGAACAACGAGCTGAACTGTAGCATGTGTCAGAATAATGAACAGGGATGGATCAACTAGCAGCAGGATGGAAACAAGTAGTAAACCCTAATTTGGGTTGTACCCCATATGGGCTGTAAACCCTAGCAAGTGTAAGCATGCAGGTACAAGTATATAGATCACAGTACAAGCAAATTCAAGAAGTGAGCAAGTGCGACCAAGTAGGCACAAGGCCTAGAACAGTACAGAAACGCTGATGATCACAAGGCGGAAGTGCCTTGGTGAAGAAAACAGCAGTGTTGGCCTGCCGCCACCACCGCCGCCACCTGCCCCGCCGCCCCCACCACCACTACCTCCTCCACCGCCGCCCTCACCACCGCCTCCACCGCCCCCACCACCGCCTCCACCTCTGCCACCCCCACCGCTCCTGCCTCCCCGGCCCTTGCCGCTGTGGCGCCTCCCACTGGGGGCAGACGCAGCTCCTACCTCCTCAGCACGAAGGTAGTCAACAGCTGCAGCAGAGGCGACTGAGGGGAGAAGGGGGGAGGGCGAACACCCCTCAAAGAAGGGGGTGCGATGAGTGCCACGAGAAGCGCCTACAGCGACTATGCTAGTCTCAGCTGCTAGGAGGTGCTTCTCGAGCAGGTCGACAGTGAGGTCGGTGGGGTCAAGTGCTAGGAGGAGGTCCCTGATTGCAGTAAGAGAGTCAGGGAGGCGGGTGACTATGAAGTAGAGCGTGATGTACATGGGGGGGGGGGGGGGTTCTTTGCGAGAAACTCGGTGGGGAGCGCAGCACGGTAGCGAGCGTCACTAGTGCGGAGGTGAGTGACTAGGTCGGCTACTGTGGCAAAGGCCGACAGGTCTGGGAACAGGTAGGGCAGGAGAAGGCGGCCTAGAGCAGCAGTGGCCGGGGAGGAGTAACGAGCGTCTACAGCATCGTACAGTGCTTTTGCTGTCTTATGCTGGCCAAAGTGGGCGCGTTCGGCTAACGACAGGTGATTGCGAACGGCTAGGCGAGCAGCAGCGTCACGGGTAAGCCACTGTGAGCGGGTCGCACTGTCAGTTGTGGCGTCAGGGGCGGGCGAGGCGCCAGAAGTGAGGTCAAACAGCGAGGTACCGCCCTTCGAGTCTGTCAGCAAGAACAGCTGTAAATCGTCTAGCCATGCAGCAAACTCTATGGGGCGGCCCTCCGAATCGAATGTGAGAACGTTGAGGGTTGCCATAGCAGGTAGAGCAGTCGGGCGCGCTAGTAGCAGAGCAGCACGCTAGCAGCAGTGCAGCAGGAAGTGCGCTAGCAGCACTACAGCAGTAGGGCAGGGTGCGCACGGCAGGGCAGAGCACGGCGCTCAGGCAGGGCGCACTGGCAAGGCAGGGCGCGTGGCGGCGCGGCGCGCGGGTAGGGCAGAGGCGCGCGCGTGGGCAGGGCAGAGGCGCGCGCGCGGGCAGGGCAGAGGCGCGCGTGCGGGCAGGGCAGGGGCGCGCGGCGTGGGCAGGGCAGAGGCGCGCGCGCGGGCAGGGCAGAGGCGAGCGCGCGGGCAGGGCAGAGGCGCGCGGCGTGCTGGCAGGGCAGAGGCGCGCGGGCAGGGCAGAGGCGCGTGGCGGCGCGGCGTGCTGGCAGGGCAGAGGCGCGCGGCAGCGCGGCGCGTAGGCAGGGCAGAGCGCGCAGCAGCGCGGCGCGCGGGCAAGGCAGGACGCGCGGCGGCGCGGCGCGCGGGCACGGGCAGGTCGCGCGGCGCGACGCGCGGGCAGGGCGACGCGCGGACAGGGTGACGCGGCGGCGCGACGCGCGGGCAGGGCAGGGCAGGGCAGTCTGTAGGGATCGGTGGTCTGTCCGTACTGTCATGTCTGCTCCCGTGAGGTAACATCGCCACACCTTGAACGCGTGCACGATCGCCAGCATCTCGCGGTCGTGTATCGGGTAGTTGCGTTCGGGCGGGTGAAGCTTGCGGGACTCGTACGCGATTGGCTGGAGGCCGTCCCCGAAGTCCTGCAACAGTAGTGCTCCCACAGCGATGTCGCTAGCATTGGTGACGAGCTCGAACGGACGGTGCGGATCTGCGATGTGAAGCACGGGCGGCGAGCAGAAAATTTGTTTGAGGGCCGAGAAGGCAGCTTGCTCTTTCTCCCCCCACGTGTACTCAACCCCCTTCCTCAGCAGGTCGGTCAACGTGTTAGAATCGAGAGAAGTGAAGAAAGGAGGATGATGAAACTAGCAGAAAGGTGGGTACAAGTAGGAAACCCTAAGTTTGTTGTACCCCCTAAGGCTAAACCCACTATAGCCTACACAAAGTAAACATACGATGTTTGACACACCCCCATAGGCTAAGTGGGAGACAACCAGATGGTCACAAGACCAGTCAAAGCAAAGCAAAGCAAAGCAAAGCTCAGGGTGGATCTCAAGGATACCACACAAATTCCGAGCACAAGCAAGCGGTCACAAGACCAGTTCACATGCAGTTTGATAATAAACAAGAGGTACAGTGATCACAACCTAGCAAGTGTAAGCATGCAGGTATATATACAGAGATCACAGTACAAGCAGAGTCAAGAAGTGAGCAAGTGAGGGACATTAGGCACAAGGCCTAGAACAGTACAGAAACGCTGATGATCACAAGGCTGAAGCGCCTTGGTGAACACATCAGCAGTGTTGGCCCGAGTGGCCACGTACGAAAGACGAAGCTGACCACGCTGCTGTAGCTCTCGAGCAAGGAAGTAGCGCAGAGCGATGTGCTTCGTTCTGTGCTCCAGTCTGTGCTCCTGACACAAGGCAAGGGCGGTCTTGTTGTCGACGTACAGCACTGGAGGAGAACGAGGCCGCTCTCCCAGGTCGGTCAGCAGGTATGTGAGCCAGCGAAGCTCCTGGGCAGCCATGGCTGTGGCGTAGATCTCAGCCTCACAACTGGAGCTGAGAACAGAGGAAGAGCGTGTAGAACGCCAAGAAACTGAGCCTGAGCCAAGGCTGAAGGTGTAACCCTGAGACGACCGCTGAGTAGCCTGGTCGTCAGCCCAAGAAGCGTCTGAGTGTCCAGTGAGGACAACGTCGCGCCGTCCTCCAAGCACAAGCCCCATGCCCGACGTACTGCACAAGTAGCGCAACACCCTCTTAGCGGCATCCATGTGCTCCTTCCGGTGACGGCCAGGAGCGACATAGCGTGCTAGGATGCTAAGAGGGTAGGCTAGGTCAGGTCGAGTGCAGGTCATCAGGTACATGAGGCAGCCCACAAGCTCTGGATATGGGCCACTCGGCTCTACGGACTCATCCGAAGGCAGAGCTGAGAGCGAGTGACCGGTAGGCAGAGGAGTGGGCTGAGGCGAGGAGTACGTGAAGCGGAAGCGCTGAAGGACCTGCTGCACCATGTGTGACTGAGTCAAGGTGATGGTGCGCTGTGCTCTGTCCCGGGTGATCCGCAAGCCAAGATAGCTTGTCAGTTCACCCAGGTCTGTGCACGTGTGTCTCTTCTGCAGCTCCGACTTCACGTGGGCGAGTGCCTCAGTGTCAGCAGTAGCAAAGACCAAGTCGTCTACGTACACGAGAACGTAGAACGGCGGTAGAGTGGTGTCGGTGCGTAGAAACAGCGACGGGTCAGCGGTAGAGTGGTGTCGGTCCTCAGTGTGTCGTGCCACTCACGGGGCGCCTGGCGGAGACCGTAGACTGGCCGCCGGAGGCTCCACTGGGTACCAGGAGGGGACGACCCAGTGAAGCCAGGTGGGCGGCGCAGCCAGATCTCCTCGTGCAGGGTGCCCTGTAGGAACGCAGTGCTGAAGTCAAGGCAGTGGAGCTCGTAGTCACGCTGAGCAGCGACGTGCAGCAGAACCCGAAGAGTGGTCATCTTCGGGGTCGGGGAGAAGGTCTGGAAGAAGTCAACTCCCTCTCGCTGACTGAAGCCTCGTGCAACGTAACGCGCCTTGAAGACAGGCGGAGAACCCGGCGGCCGCTTCACCCTGAAAATCCACATGCCATTGACGATGTTCGCCCCAGGTGGGGGAACCTCGTCGACGTAGGTGCCTGTGGACTTCCAGGAAGCCATCTCTGCGTCCATGGCTGTCTGCCACTGAGAGGAGTAGAGACCCTCCATCGCCTCTGCGTAGGAGCGTGGGGTCGGGATGTCTGGTGCATCCGGGTCTCCCTCAGGGGCAATCAGCATGGACACGAGATGAGGTAAAGCAGCAGCAAAGCACTCAAACTCCTCCTGTCTGTCCTCAAGGACGTCCGTGCCAAGAGCACACTCACCCCCGACGGACGGAGGACAGACAGACTCAGACTCAGCAACAAGGCTAGCGGCGTAGTCTAGACGACAGGCGGCAGCAAAGTCAACAAGCTCAGCTACTAGAGCAGACGCAGCAGAGGACTCAAAGGTAGGGTCAGTGACAACAGTGGCAAGGAGACGCGCTACAGTAGGACTGGCAGCACGAGTAAGGTCTGACGGCGAGTCAGCAACGTCAGGAAGAGAGGACGCAGGAGGAGACGGCAGAGGGACACGCTGTGGAGCAGTGGAAGGACGTAGGGTCATATAGTGAGTACCAAGGACAGGAGGAGGACGCTGACGCGGAGCACGACGACCAGCGCGGACAGCGCGGACAGTCGACTCTGGACGCGACTCAGGCGACTCTGGACTAGACTCAGGCGACGGAGGACGAGACTCAGGCTCACGACGCTCAGTAAGACTACCCGTCGGCGCAGTGTAAGGAGAAGGACCAGGCAGTGGAGAGGCAGGCTGTAACTGCAACTGTGACTGGACAGGCGGTGGACTCAGTAGGGGAGGAGTAGGACCAGTAGAGGGTGGGAGACCAAGAACCTGCTGAAGTAGCGGAACGTAGTACGGCCGCGGCCGCTCAGCACCTCCAGCTCCAACCCCCTCGGCAGGCCCAGTCCCAGCAGCTCCAGTACCTCCAGTACGAGCACCTCCAGGACCAGCGGCTCCAGCAGCTCCAGCACCAGCACCTCCAGTAGCTCCAACAGCACCGCCAGCAGCAGCAGTGCCTCCAGCAGCTCCAGCACCAGCAGCACCTCCAGTAGCTCCAGCAGCACCAGCACCAGCAGCACCTCCAGCAGCAGCTGCACCAGCAGCACCTCCAGCAGCGCCAGCAGCACCGCTAGCAGCAGCAGCACCTCCAGCAGCTCCAGCAGCACCAGCACCAGTAGCACCTCCAGCAGCGCCAGCAGCACCGCCAGCAGCTCCAGCAGCGCCAGCAGCACCAGCACCAACAGCACCTCCAGCAGCTCCAACAGCACCTCCAGCAGCTCCAGCAGTACCAGCACCAGCAGCACCTGTACCAGCAGCACCTCCAGCAGCACCAGCACCAGCAGCGCCTCCAGTAGCGCCAGCAGCACCAGCACCAGCAGCACCTCCAGCAGCTCCAGCACCAGCAGTACCTCCAGCTCCAGGGTCCGCGACACTAGGAGCGCCACTCCGGAGACTGCAGCGACGAGCGTACCACTCTCGGAGCCGCTGGGGAGAGGGCAGCTCCCGCCTGGGAGGGGAAGCACGAGCACGAGCTCCAGCAGCAGCACTCCTGAGGCTGCAGTACTGTAAGTACCACTCACGCAGCTGCTATGAGGAAAGAGCGCCTCCAGGTGTAGTACTCTCAGTCGCAGCACCCTCTGGCTCAGTACCCTCAGACGTAGCACTCCCAGGCTCAGCACCCCCAGACTCAGCACCCCCAGACTCAGCACCCCCAGGCTCCGCACCCCCAGACTCCGCAACCCCAGGCTCCGCACCCCCAGGCTCCGCACGCTCAGGCTCAGCACCCCTAGCAGGACGAGAGTCGACAGCTACCTCGACAGGCTCAACCGGGTCTACCTGGGACACACCTGAGGGAGCGGCACCCTGAGGGGGGAGGGGGTCTACCACAGCAGCACCTGGCGCGAGGAAGAGAGGCGGGGGGGGGAGCGGGGCAGTGCGGTAGGGGAAGAGGCGGTAGTAGGGCACCGACTCGTCAAAAGTGACGTCCTGAGAGGGCAGGACACGGCGCGAGGTGGCGTGGTAAAACTGCCAACCAGACGCGTCCGGGACAAAGCCAAGGAAGACACAAGGAACAGCGCGGGAGGAGAGCTTGTCCGCGGACGTATCGCGGACAAAAGCTCGAGATCCCCAGACCCAAAAACGCGACGCATCACCAACCTCTCCCGTCCAACGCAGTGTCGGCGAAGTCTCCGGAACGGAGACACGGGGCCAGAGGTTGAGCTGATGCGCAGCGTACCGGACCGCAAACGGCCACAGAAAGTGGGGGGCAGCCGCATGGATCAAGGAGGTACGAGCGACCTCCATGACCAAGCCAATGCGGCGCTCAGCAACCCCATTCTGCTGTGGAGAGGCCGGAAGCGTGAACGACTGGCGGATGCCGTGCTCCGCACAGTAGGCTGCCAAGAGGTCGGAGGAGAACTCACCACCTCTGTCAGAGTGCAGACGCAGGACAGGAAAGTCCGAGTGGAACCGCTCGCTGAGCTGGAGACGAGAAGCGCGGATCCAAGGGATCAAAACATCAGGGACCTCACCCTTGGTGCGCAAGGGGAAGACCGTGGTGTAGCGCGAGTAGTCGTCAACAACGATCAGGAAGTACCTCTCCTGACCCTGTCCACGGACGCGGGCTGGGCCCCACACGTCCATGTGGAGCGTCTGCAAGGGAGCAGTCGTCGGGGGAAACGAGGAGGAGTGAGGAGCGGCGCGCTGCCGCCCCTCGACACAAGGAAGACAGGGAGGAGCAGGCGAGGGTGGGAGAGGAGGGAGTACCCGGGGAAGACCAGAGACAAGGTACCGTTTGTGCATGGCACGAAGGCGCTGCACTGACGGGTGACCAAGGCGGTGGTGCCAGAGGACGGTCTCGTGTGCTAGAGAGCGACACGAGCAGGGGGCAGACAACTGACCTGAAGTAGACGCAGACGCAGCTACCTGAGGGGACTCAGTGGTCAGTGTGTACAGGTCCGACCCCGGCTGCCGAGTGAAGGTAGCCAGGTGACGGCCCGTCCGAGCACACGTGCAGTGTGTCACGCGCTCGTAGGCAGGGGTGAACTGGTGGACACCCCGGTCCTGGAGCGCACAACCCGCCACCAAGTTCGTAGAGAACGAGGGGAGGTGGAGACCTGACAGTGTGCCCGACGGAACCGCAGGACAAGGAAGAACAGTGGAGGAGGTCGCAATGACCGGACCCCCAGAGGGGTCAGCAAGGGAGACAGCAACTGTCCGAGCAAGCTGCTCAAGGGCAGTGCGGTCACGAAAGAAACAGCGAGAAGCACCTGAGTCCAGTGTGAAGGTGTGCAGTGCCTCAGTAGTCTCAGTACCAGGGGGCGCAGACTCACGAGCACCTAGAGCAGCAGCCTCACCAGCACCTGGGGCAACAGACACACTAGCACCTAGAGCGGCAGCCTCACCAGCACCTGAGGCAACCGACACACGAGCACCTAGTGCGGCAGCCTCACCAGTACCTAGAGCAGCAGACTGGATACCGGGGTCAGGCAGCACACACAGGTGACAGGCTCCCTCGGTACTAGTAGACAATGCATACATGGCAGTGAGAATAGCATCATAGGGAAGAGCAAAGATATCTACCCTCTGTCCAAGCAGCTCCAGCCAGTCGGGGAGCTCAGCGTCGTCGCCAAACTCTGTACGCCAAGCGTCAGTCAGACGGGCGAAGCAGTGGGACTCTGTGTGACCACGCGTCCCGCAAGGCTGACCAGTCCAGGCACCCGTGCTAATAACGTACGGGCAGCGAGCAGTACTCAGCGACCTTCTACTCTGAGCGTACCACTCACGAAACTGCTGGGGCGAAAGAGGGTCGCGTGGACGACGCTGCTGCTGCACCGGGCCACTACAAGAAGTTCCCGAACTACCCACTCCAGGACGACTCCCACTACGGCCACCCCGACAACCCCAATTGGCGTACCACTCACGAAGCTGCTGGGGCGTGAGGGACACACGCGGACGGCCGTGGAGCTGCATCTGGCCACGCCAGGAGCAGCAGTAGCAGCAGGAGCGGCAGTAACAGCAGGAGCAGCAGGAGCAGTAAAAACAGTAGCAGTGGCAGTGCGGGCAGGGCAGTGCTCACCAGTGGTAGGAAGGGCAGGCGCAAGACGGCAGCGACAGCAGGGCCGCTACAGCTGTAGGGCGGGGCCGGGCCGTGGCAGGGAGCTCCGCGGCAGCTGCTGCAGGGCGGGGCTGGAAGGGCGCTCGACGGCGCTAGGAAGGGCGCACGACGGCGCTAGGAAGGGCGCTCGATGGCGCGAGGTACTATCAGACACAGTCGCGTAAGGGCGCGGCGGAACGGTGGGCCCTAACCAACGTTGGTCCTAGGTGGTGACCTAGGCGTCGGATACCATGTTAGAATCGAGAGAAGTGAAGAAAGGAGGATGATGAAACTAGCAGAAAGGTGGATACAAGTAGGAAACCATAAGTTTGTTGTACCCCCTAAGGCTAAACCCACTATAGCCTACACAAAGTAAACATACAATGTTTGACACAACGGAGCAGTCAACTTCGCCATGTCGGGGACGAACCGGCGCACGTAGTTGACGAACCCCAAAAAACTCAGCAATTCGGTCAAGATTGTCGGCGTGTGCCATGCTTGAATCGTCGCGATCTTTTTCGGGTCTATTTCCACTCCTTCAGCTGAAATGATGTGTCCCAAAAACTCCAGTCTGTCCTGTAAAAACTCACACTTAGAAGCTTTGGTCAGTAGGCAGTTTTCACTCAGTATTTTAAAAACTGCTTCGATGTCCTGTAGGTGCTGTGTTCTGTCTGGGCTGTAAATCAGTATGTCGTCTAAGTACACAATGACGCACTTATCTAAAAGCGGGCGGAAGGCTTCGTTCATCGTCATTTGGAAAGTGGCGGGGGCGTTGGTCAGCTCGAACGGCATGACAGCGTATTCGAAGGATCCGTAGCGTGTTCGGAAGGCTGTTTTCGGGCAGTCAGGTGGGTTGACTCGGATCTGGTGGTAGCCTCCTCGAAGGTCGATTTTCGAGAGAACCCGGGCTGTTCGCAGTTGGTCGATCAGTTCGTCGGCTCGCGGGATGGGGTAACGGGACTTAATGGTAACCCGGTTGAGTGCCCAGTAGTCTATGCACATGCGAAAACCCCCGTCCTTCTTTGGCGTGAACAGTATCGGGGCTGCGAAGGGTGACGAACTCGGGCGAATGAATTCTTTTTCGAGCAGGTAATCTAGCTGTTTCCTCAGTTCGTCCAGTTCGGGTTGGGTCAGTCGGAAGTGTCGCTGTATTGTCGGCTGTGCCCCCGGTTCTAGTTCTATGCTGTGATCGTGCGGTCGGTGAGGTGGCAGTCCCGTCGGCAGGTCGTCCGGAAATATCCCGCTGTACTGCTTCAGGAGTGCTGCCAAGTCATCCGGTACGTCGGCTAGCAGTTTCTGTAGATCCCCCCCTTTGTCTGCTGCCTCGGCTTCCCGAATGTCAACTGCGTACACATCAGCTCCTGCCGCTACGGCGCGTTTCGTCGTGATCGCGTTGACACACACCGACGAAGACTCGAGCGAGCCCCAGCGAGGTAAGGCGATGTTGTTACCGTCCACTCGCATGGTGCAGTCACCCGTCGTCCAGTCGATTCGCGGATTGTGTCGTCGCAGCCAATCACGACCGAGTAAAATGTCGGTTCCGTCGAGGGTTGTCGCGAGCATTTCCTGGCTAAACGTGAAGTTACCCCCGCATCGAATCCGAACCCGGTCTACGCGTTCTCGTATCGCCAGTGGCGTGCCGTCAACCAGTCTTGCGTCGATCTCAGGTAAGCATCTGTCCAGTGGCAGTTTCAGTTTCCGTGCTGTGGCAGTGTTGATGAGGCTGTGGCTGGCTCCCCCATCTACGAATATTTTAACTAAGTCTGACCTTATCTTCCCACTAAGCAGTATGGGGCTGTCTACCGCGGTACCCTCCTTATTCGGCCGGGTGTGGTCGATTGCGTGAACCGGCACAATCACTCGGTGAGGGTTGGTTGGGTCGGGCAAGCGGCGTGACCTGTCAGTAGAGGGCCCGTCTGCTACTGACTCCCAGCATTTCCCTGCTGCTTGGTCTGTTTCTGCTGCTCAGCTTCCCCCTTTCCCTTAGCGGTTTCCGGGCATTCGCTCTTGCGGTGTCCCGGCCAATTGCACGCGAAGCAGCGCCCTTTGAACGGTGCGACAGGCATTCGCGGCGACGGCACGTATCGTAGCGCCCTCGTTTGTCCCACGAGACCGATGTCCCCAGTTACTGTTTCCGTAGGACCCCGGTCTCGGTCGGCGGAAGAAATCTTCTCCGCCATAGCGAGAATTTATTGAAAATCGATGACGCCGCGAAGCTGGATTTCCTGAGCGATGTCGTGCTTCAGACCGCCGATGTAGCGGTCGATGCGCTCACCCTCGTGCATATAACCCACTTGCTCGCATAGCGCCAGAAACCCGCTGGTGTAATCTTGGACAGAACCGAGTTGGCGCCAAGTGCGGAGCTTCTGACGCGCCGCGATCGAAGCCGCAATTGGCTCAAATCAAGCGCGCAGACCTGCGCACCACGCGTCCCACGTGCGATATTGGGGCACCTCCACAAAATACGACGGCGCTTAGGGTCCGGTTTGTCCTTCCCGTGTCGGTAGAGTCGCGTAGTCGTTCGGCTTCGTGACGATGACGCGCCACCAGTCCATGGCGGGTCCTCGCAGCAGCGACACGGCGTAACGAATCTTCGCCGTATCCTCCGAGACGTAGTTGGCGTCGAAGAACACATTCATCGTAAACAACCATGCCTGAACGGTAGGACCACCCCGTTGACTCGGGTCAAAGCATGGCGGACGCTGCGGCTTCAGCGGCATCGGTGACGGCAGTGCCGAATCGTTGATCGGTGCCGAGATCGTGACGCGCGGTTGGTTTCGGGCCGCCTTCGTCGCTTCGGGGTGTGTCGTGCCGTGGTCGTCGTCTCTGTCGTGGCGGACGACGCCATCACTAGCCGTGCTCGCGGGTTGCCCCACGCTTCCGTGTTGTGATGTCTGTGGTGCGGGCTGTACCGGAGTCCCAGGTGCTTGAGATTGTGCTTGCTGTGCTCGTGCGACGTCGTTTTGCAGGGACGTGCGTTCTACCGTCAGCGCGGCGATTTCTTCAGAGCTTTCGCGAATTTGCCGCAGCAATTCGTTCAAGTGCTCTTGCGTGAGGGTGGTGACGTCGATATGCTCAGCCATATTGAAGGGCGTCGGCCCGCCTTAGTTCTAGGCGCAGTCGTGGCTGCACGCGTTTACCAGAGAACGCGAGGACAGCGGCTCCTAGGGGCTAAGGTGCGTGAGTCCCTTCGAGTGAAAAATCAAAA